TGTACCTAGAGGCCTTTTGTTAAACAAGCTAAGCCTTACACAAACTGAGTCCTGGGCTATCAACTGGCTGCACTCTTACTTCTCCAATAGGATGCAGTACACGGTATATAATGGTGTAGCTTCCTCTCCTTTGCTTACTGAAGCTGGTGTTCCTCAGGGTGCTGTTCTCTCTCCGTTTCTCTTTTCCTTCTTCTTACATGACTTACCTCTCTCAGACGAAATCAACTTCGTCAAATATGCAGATGACCTGACTGTTTCGCTTCCCGTTAAGTCTCAGTCAGACTGGTTCAAATTAAATAGCTTCCTGTCTGACATCATTCAGTGATCTAAACTAAATGGCCTCATGCTGACTCCCTCAAAATGCCAGACTGTCGACTTCTCCTTTAGGCATAAACGAGATCTACAAACACTAGTAAGCACTCATGAAGCCTGTAGCATTGAGGGGACTATAATTGAAACAAAGTCTAATGCAAAATACCTAGGATTAGTTATATCTTCCGACCTTATTTGGTCATCTCATATCCGAATGATTTCCAAGAAAGTGTTTCGTCTAACCTACTACATTAAGAAACTCAGACTAACTGAAATCACTCAAGCTCTGCTTTCACAATTTTTCAACTCTCGTATCCTACCTATTTTACTTTACTGCTCCCCATTAGTCTTTTTTGGGTTACTGAAAAAGGACTATACCATCCTGAGAAGGATGTTGAAGGTAGTTAGTAGGACTAGTGGTGTAAACCTCATTCATCTCATCGCTACATTAGTAGAAAGGCATCTGAATATATGCGAAAAATGGACTAAAACCATACTCTCTGACCCCCATCGCACACACACACACCCTCTATTTCCAACTCTCTCCTTGCATCTCATCAGGTAGAAGCAGAAATCAGTACAAAATAATATATGCTCGTACAACCAAGTATAGGAACTCAACGATACCATATCTGGCCCGTGTTCTAAGTGACAGAGACAATGTTAAGCGGTAAACCTATGACTTGCTTTGTTGTTAATAACATAATTTTGGCCCTTGTTATTTTCCCCTTATACTCTCTTATTTGTACTCTATAGTGAACAACCTTCTTAAACATACTTAGCTACTTAATATTATTATCATTGGCTTACTTTTTTATTCTTTAGTCTATTCCTTGTTTTGTGTATCTACTGGGTCCGACTATATTATCACTATGATTATTACAAAATTGTCCTGTCATTAACCATCATGTAATATTAATTTTTGTGGTTGTTCTTTGTTCGGCAATATTAAACTGACAATCTTGGTTGTGAACGCCACTATCACCATCTTAAAAAATTTTATATTATGCAGGATTACTCACACTACCACAACAAACACCGCATTAGTGCTGACAATAAAAATAAAAAACCCTGAAATGTTTATTTTATGATTGTTTAGTGTAGTTCAATCAAATTAACTGATCGTCTTGGCTATAAACATTCTTAAGAACATTTCAAAACTTCTTGTATGATTATAGCTGTTACTGTTCACCAAGCATAGACATATCATAGCTTCCACTACCCAATACTGAAATATTTTTTCATTATTGTTGTTTATCTTCCTTTCCACTTGGTATTTTTATTTGCATTTGTTATGTTGTTTTTATGTTTCTTTTTGGTTTTTGTTGTTTTTTTATATTTATTTTTTTGTAATACTCCTTTTAAATGTCCGATGAAATTAGATGCAATATTGTAGATATGTGCTGAAAATTCCACACTGTACCACTAGTACTGTTTCTGGAATAAAAGCGAAATTGTTGTTATGTTATGTCAGTACAGACTGTTCATGTGGTGATGATACTACCATCAACCATGACTCCAGGAGAACATTTTCTAAGCGACGAATAAATCAAGTAAATAAATAAAACTCTGTAATCAGACGAAAATTAACACGAATGTATGTGCTGGACATTTGAAACACTCACATGAACGAACTCGTGAACGTTGAAAGATAATGTAAATCAGTGGGAAATATCAAATACTAACAATAATAATAATAAGAAGGCTTTGTTTCAGGCAATATGCGAACACATAGTATAGAAATTTCAGTCTATCTAGTTCCAAAATATATCGTCTTCGTACAAGATTTACATATAAAGTAGTAATTTGAGGTATGCCATATGGGGTGTAGTGTTGTCGCATATGAAGTGAGAACCAAATGATGAGTAGATTTTTTCTTCATTTCCTTCAAGAATTGCATAGTATTTTGTTGAAAGCTAATTAAATACTTGGGTGAGTCCATGTAGTGATCATTTGATACAATTGCATGATTAAAAGAATAAGAAATGCAGGAGGTTCCCCATGCCCCCACCCATCCATTTCTCGCCCACATACGACTGGAGGTTGCCGTTCCGTTCTTTCGAACACTGACAGCATGACAACAGGCAACGCACCTCCCACAAAACGCGCCAGTGAGTCACGCACCTCACCAGTACGCTGCAAGTGTCAAGTTGCCTTGTCACCAATATTTAACGCGGTTGGAACTGATAGCAAAAATATATTGACAGCTTGTAGCTGCATCGCTCCTGCAAATTCAGCACCTGGTTCTGACATAGATCTACTGACTACACCTTATGTACGTCCCACCAAACTTCAGACACAAAGTCCAGCTTCAACACTTCAGAAATGGAAAGACTAAAGCTGTCTGTAGAAGAGCCTAAGACTGAGTTGCAGGGAGTAAGTTGTAAGGCTATGAATACAGGAATTTCAGAAAATATGGCCAGCATATCTGAGCTATCAGAACAGACTAGTGATATAAAGTCACAGTTGTGTGAACTAACACCCCTGAGCATCCTTACAGAATCGGTATCCACGGTAGAGATCCTCATAAACTTCATCGCAAGAAAGGTCATCAAAAGACTAGATACAAAATCAAGTGTAATAGTCTACAACATAACGGTTAGTGAGGGATTGAAAAAAGTGCAAGGCATCTTACTTGAGGTGGCGAAAATGATTGTCTCTCAAACTAAGTCCCACAGACTGAAAAAGAATCAGCTGCCCTATACACCTTCAGTTTGTCACACAGGCAGAGGATAAGAATTTCATCAACCCATAGCGTATCCTGCAACAGGATACAAGTTACAGAGCAAACAAAAGTTGTACTAGATGAGACAGTGGTAGAAAGGCGATCTTACAACCAACTCACTAAACCTAGTGGTAAGAAGGATAAGACACTGCAAGTCACCGAAATAGATAAACCCACCGCCAAAACGGTAGAACTCATAGTCTCCCCCTCTCAAACTCCACAAAATTAGCTCCACAGAAGACGACACCAGCCGAAAGACTATTTGATTATAGGCCTTACCCTTCTCAAAAGATGACAGTATCCTCTCATAGCCATAATGCGAGAGGTGGAGAGCAATCCGGTAACGAAACTTACCGAAAATTACCTTTCGTAACCAAAAATTCACTACCCTCACAAAAGTTTTGCAAGAAGAATCCTTGCTAGAAAAGAAATAAGATACAAAATTATACTAACAACCACACGAATAGGGCAATAACACCAGTACATATTCGCATGATATGTCAAGTCTCACTGAAGCCCACACTAATAGCTAGCGTTGCAATACCATCAGGCAAAATGGTACAAGTGATAACACTCAACGCTCAGCTACCGACCACTCTGGGTCTTCAAAGTTTGACACACAAATAAACTTTGACAGAATATGCGGCACAAGTCTGCTGGGAATTAAACCACAGTGCAGCAATGCATATAATGAAACGCATGTAAGGACATATACAGTGCCTCCAAGCACCAGGCATAATAATAAGTTATGGGCATTACAAGGTACAAATACCCTAGGTTACTACTTTATATGTAAATCTTGTACGAAGACGATATATTTTGGAACTAGATAGACTGAAAATTTCTATACTATGTGTTCGCATATTGCCTGAAACAAAGCCTTCTTATTATTATTATTGTTAGTATTTGATATTTCCCACTGATTTACATTATCTTTCAACGTTCACGAGTTCGTTCATGTGAGTGTTTCAAATGTCCAGCACATACATTCGTGTTAATTTTCGTCTGATTACAGAGTTTTATTTATTTACTTGATTTATTCGTCGCTTAGAAAATGTTCTCCTGGAGTCATGGTTGATGGTAGTATCATCACCACATGACCAGTCTGTACTACAGGGTAAGGGCAGAGAATATTCAGTGAAAATGGTGGAGTCGTTTGAGAAGTAACTTATGTATTGGTTAAGGCGGACGCGTGTTTTAACCCTACTATGATGTGTTCAGTGTCGAAAATTCTTACAGGATTTTAACGAAGGATGAGTCCTCTTTTAGGTTGTGGACTATATATTGTGAAGTCGAATGTATGGTACGCGTAGTATGATGTCGTAGGGTCTTAGTGTTATTGAACTCAAGTTATATCATGAAGAGTTTTGTGATTTAGTTGTGTGAAGAAAAGTATGAGCTGTAGCGCAATCAAAATGTAAGGGAACTTATGTATGTTGTGAAATGATGACTTGGGAGTTGAAGTGTTCTATTCCTTGCTGGTTCAGTCTTAATTTTGGGTTGCCTCAATATGACACTTGTCTACTTGATGAACGTCTATGATTTATTTTTAGTCGAGTATTTGTACTGAACACTAATGTTGTTTTTGTTGTGGCGGATTAAGTTTATGGATACATTTGAACCGAAGGCGTATGTAGTGGGACTCAAGAGTACTTATCAGGCCTGTACGTGTATGCATTATGTAAAGAGAAATTTTGTGTGCATATTGAGAACATTATATATTAATACATCTAAAAGAAAGTGGATGTCTCAGGCAGTAGATGAAAGCTTATTGCTTAAATAAATGCACAACTATTACTCTACTGAGATACATGCGAAGAGGTGATTCATTCTCTTTATGCAACTGTTCATAAATTGCAATACTTCACAGTTAAATTGAAATGTTATCTTTTAACATACGAAACGTTCACCTGCTGATACCATAGATTTTGAAGTTATTAATTTAATTCCTTCTCATACTAAGGTTATGGTCGTGGTGGAATTGGAAATGAAAGAAGAAGTGATATTGGTAATAGTGGGAGAGGTGGCAGTGGTGGCTTTACTCAGGGATATCAAATGCATGGTCAACCGACACCGTATATGGGTGGTGGTGGTGGCGGCGGCGGTTATATTGCAGATCCTTATCAAATGGCTGTGACGAACCAACAGATGAGCGGGTTGACGTTATTTGAACCTGGATTGTCAGTTGGTCCACAGCAGAATTTTGTCTTTCAAGTAAGGGATCACAATATTGTTTTATCATCCTCCATTCACTATAGTTTGGTTGATTTGTCAAATTGTTTCTGCTTTCCTACTCATGAGAATGTTAAACCTGTTTGCGAAGCGGAAGAATGTGACGCTTATCTATCAGTGTCTGTTTAATTGGAACTTTTAAATTCCTTGTTGTTTGTTGATTTCACTGAATGGGAATGCTTCTTCTCTTTTGCCACATCGGTTTTATAGTCTAGACTCTTCAATGATGAATGGAAGTTAACTTATTGTTATGGTTATTCCAATCCAGCTGGGAACACCGTCACTCATTAGCATTCTGGTACACTCAGCTGAATAGTCCAACGAGAAACACGTGTCCCAAATTCCACTGCTAGCCACCACCAACTGAACAGCTTATCATCCTTATAATTCAATTAACAAAGTGCATCGGTGGCACAGTGGTTAAGACTCTCGCCGATTATGCACATGGTCCGAGGTTCGATCCTCTGCCGACTCACACCTGATATCTATGGTCGGCCTGCGAAATTTGGTCTACCGATATCCATGCTGAAGATTCCATACTTGTACCAAAAATACAGTGTGGAGTCAAGCTGTAATAAAAAAAAAGTGCTCCGTTATGGATAAGATTTTTATTTTTTGGTGAGGAGACTAATTGATCACTATCTCATTATGATGAATTCTCAAGACGAATTTTTCATCTATTTGGGCGGGGGTGGGGGAGGGCACGATATTTTTTAAAATTCAATTTTAAACCCACCCAATATACATATCAACTTTTCTATTAGTTAAAGTAGGGAAATAAATTAATTTTGGACTTCTTGCTGACTAATACGTTATGACAGATGCAGAGGCTAATATTTTAATGCTTATGAAGAGATATCATCTACATTCACCTTTAAGGTCTCAGTTCTTTTTGTCTGTATACGATGCAGCAGCTGTTGTAAGCACTTAGTATTGCCAGGTCCTGTGTTCATATTCTTTTCTTCTGTCCTCTTCGCCGCCTGATTATTAATGTGTTGTACCTAATATAAAGGTGTCGAATAGTTTAAACAGAACATCTTGTACTGTGTAAATTATCTTTGTACTGTACACTACACTACAGTGGTGTACTCCGTTGTTTTGAATTGTAATTTTTGTAAACCAGACTAACGATATGTCATAGCGGTAGCAGTATTTCAGTTGACAGGCTGCTTTGGACATGGGAAGTGATACATGTTTACTGTTAAAAATCGATAAAAGTTATCGGCATTTCCTATTCTCTATAAAAGTCGAACCTACATTATCACTCGACGATGAATTCAGTAAACTTACCATTAAGGCATTCAAATCACGTTGATTACCATTTGGTAGCCATCTAAGATTGGTATAAATAACAAACTAACAGAAGAGAACAACACAGGTATAGTCGGCATTATAGAATGAAGAGAATACCACTGATCGGTTAAAATTGCTAATTGTTCAGTGTAAACAGGGCTTTCGAGTTGGACCTGCGATACATTTTTCATACTATGATTTAGTTGACATGGGTTAGAAAAACATCTCAAGTCGACTAAATTCTGCTTCTCTTTTTTGGTTTTCAAATTCCCTTATCAGATCACTCTTGGTATTAGGTAATGTTTGCGAATCAGTGACAGTTCCGTTGAACTGGTTTGATGAACGATTACCATTCTTTGCAAGAAAGGAGACACAAGTCTTCAGGTGACAAGCATTGGGGGCAGGAAGGGTGTGAGCCTGAATAATATAGTATCTAAAGTTCTAGGCTTCCAAGTCATGCATAGACTGAATGATGCTAGGTAGAGAAATATATAGGTGAACGTATTGTTTATCTATCATGTAGTCTAGTCTAAATGATAACGGTAGTCTTTGGTTAGTAACACACCTAGAAGATGGTACACTCGACTTAAATCTTTTCCTAGATGAAAACTTGATTCTAGGTTTCTGTTCTCAGATTGACTGACTAAGGAATCAGCACAGAAATCGTCTATGACATCAGCTGACTTCATAGACCTAACAGTTTACTCTCTCTCTCTCCCTCTCTCTGATATACTATAACTTATCACAACTACTTGTTTTTCACTCTGATACTTTTTAATTATCAGCCAGGAAAACAGAAGAATGGCTCATAAGGTGTCATCAAGTGGACAATTTCCACCATTCTTATCACTAAGACTCCTTAATCATTGAATTCCAACGTCTTCATCGTTGAATGTGTACCACTTTAAGTGGTTCAAACTGACAGAAAATCACTTGATATATTCGTGCCATGTTTTTGTCTGGTCATATTTAACACTTCCAAGCAAATCCTACTCCGAATGACACTGTTTACTGGCAAAGACATTAGCTTGTAGTGCGTTATATGCATCCTGTCCACTAACCTTGTTCGCAGAACATGTATGTAAAAAGTACCATTTCAGTAGGTGTGATTACAAAAAATAACTTTGCCAACTTTAGTAGTGCTAGCTAACATCAGTAAGTTTTACTGCTGACAATAATAGTCTCACGTTATAATAGTTTAGCAGCGATAGAAGAATGTTAGCTAACTGAATGATATTTAATTAGCGTTGTTCGAGTTCATTCATTTTCGAGAAATAAGTCTCAATAAATAACGAGGCTATAAATGACCATTTCTTCTTATCTACCGCTGCTTTTGTGGAATATTTTTGTGCTTCTTTTCTTAGTCAGCTAATCACATTCTCATCCCTAAGAGCTGTAGATAATTAAGCTGTGTATTCTTCATTGTAATTTATAACAGTACGAAGATAATTATAATTTTATTGTTATTATTATTATTGTTTCTTTTAATTCCTAGAGGAACATTTGGCTTCACCCGCACGTCTCCATTGCGTTCGGCTCTCTGCCAACGTTTTCACCTTACTCCATGTCTGCCCACTTGCTTTCATCTCCTCTTCACATGAGCTCCCCCATGTCACTCTCGAAATGACGACCAACTCGGCGCTTCCCGTTCAAAGTTTATTCGAGCAATTGCCCGGCGTGTGATCACTTGATAATTTCCTTAGAGTTATGACCAATCCACCTCCATTTCTTCGTGCCTATTTGTTGCACGATTGTTTCCTGCTGGGTTCGTTTGCTCCCAGAGATCCATGTTGCTGATCTTATCTGGCCATCCGATTTTGAGCGAAGACAGCTGATGATGAAAGTCTGTAGTTTGTCCAAAGTGCCCTTCGTGACACGCTGGCCAAGTCTCCTATCCATGTAGTAGTACTGACTGAATTCATATTGGAGTTTACAATCCGGATCTTACTTTTCATGCTGAATGCTGATGACCTCCACACAGACTTGAGAGAAATGAAAGCTTGACTTGCTTTCCCGATCCTCGCATTGATATACTTGTCACTTCCATCTGCCTGTGGTTGAAACGATGCCTCCCATGTAAGTAAAGGATATTGTTTATTAGTGACTTCTAATAAACATTCAGACAGGTATTCGAATATAAAGAGTTGGCTAAGAAATGTGTTTTAGATGTCTTGCCATTGCTTTCCTCAACCGGCAGTGTTCGCTGACATAGGATCATGTTTTTAAAGAGTTAATAGTGGTGGTGGTCAACTTGGAACATAGAATCAGTCAATGAAGTCTTTAACAGTTAGTTTGAACCAAGTAAGCAGGTATGGACTGCCTGGTTGAGGTCTCCGGGATTTTAAGAAGCAATGGTTGGAGATAACCGTTGATGATATGGCTCAAAATCGTCCTTGTCAATGGCACAGATTCATTCTCTCTGCTATAGCCACTAAACCCGCATGTTTTTCCGTGTTTCTGTTATTTCTCCCTCAATTTTCTGCTCATTAAAGTCATTTTGGATTTCTTTTTTCTCTTCTTTGTCTCTGCTTTTGTGTGCTACATGAAGTGTGACAAATTATAATGCTTCACTTCCGTACAAAGGTCTCTGTTGTAACGGAGTCAGTCACTAGCACATAAAACTTCACATGAAAGTGCACTGCGTTTATAAAACGTTATATATTATTAGCTTTATCCGATCCCTCGACTTCTAATTGAATTACTTTACTCATGAATAATTTACTTTGTTTTTCTAAGCAAATTTTTTTTATTTTCCTTTGAAGCCTACAAGCGGATATGTCTCCGGTGATAACAATTACAGTAGAGGTCAACGAGGGGGACGTGGAACTGGAGGCGGCAATCGTGGGAGTCGCGGAAGACCTTATTAAATGCTGTTATCTCTTTCCTAGTTTCATCATTAACTTATACCGCTTCTTTGCTTTACCTCATTGTTAATGTGATAGCCGTGTTATGTTATGGGCTTGTTTTTTGAAATCTGTTTTTTCTTCTTCCTATTTGACGAAAAATTGTTCCTTTTCTTTTATATTAAATTGCTGACAACAATAAAAATTTTATGGATGGAAAAGCTGTTGTTCTTTATTTGTATCATGAGTGAAATTTACAGTTCAGCTGCCCAGTCTATCATATAAGTTATACTGTCTTGGTTTTACGCGGTACTGTTCAACGTTTCTCTCTGGGTATCTAGTTTAGAGTAGAGTAAATATTTCACTTTCAAGACAAGCACCATCTTCCAATAAGATTTGTTTTTGAGTGAATTTCGCTCATACAAAAAGTTGTAGGAAAGATATTGTATTATTGTGAAAGAAAACCGTAAAGAAATTTACACAGCCAAGTGTAATAGATAGTCGTTTATTATTTCACCTTTTTTTTCATGCTTGTATCCTGTTTAGTGATTGGATGAGCAACATCAGTCTTCAGTTACTTGCCACTTGTTGTCATCATACTTTGTTTATAATAATCCTTATTTTTCATTAAGTAAGCTGCTAAATATTCAATCGGCTTCTGTGGCCTATGAAGATAATCTAAATTATTTATTTTTGAACAAAAGATTGAAATACCTTTCTCTGGATAGCTGTAACAATCCGTGAATAAGAACTGGTACTACAAGTCTTTCTAGATAGGTACGCGTTGGAAGAGCTTGAAGTTCAGTTGTTGTCGCCTCTGAACGGATATCAGATTTCACATAGTTTATTGTATTGCTAAGACTTTTCATGAAGTGTTCTATGTGAATATCTTCGTTGTTTAACATATCAGTGTGTGTATCTCAAAATCAACTGTTGAAAACAATGTCAACTTCCTTCAATACCCGTAGATTTTTGTCTTGCGTCTGAGAGATATTGAAAATTAAAAAAAAAACACACACACAACAGTAATGGATTAGTAATTAGAATGAAGATACTTATAAACAATTGCAATATATTCTGAGAAACTGTGAATCAACCCCTAGAAGCATGATTGCGAAATATATTAGACGTTTGCCGTTACTTTACGTTTAGAGAGCGTAGCCTTGTTTGATTTGTCAATCTTAGGTTATGCGAGTTAGTCATTTCGATAGATTTACACAGTAGGTATTAAAGTGTCCCACGTCATCTGCTCTGGAAATATTCCACTATTGCGACTTTTAGGGTTGAAAGCGAAAAACTTTGCTAACGACAGGACTAAATAGATGAGTTAAGAAGGGTACAGGTTTTATAATATAATCACCGAAATATTTGCCAAAAGTGAGCAGTCGTATTTCTTAATGTCACTGACAACTAACTTCGATTTGTTAGGAACTGTTTAAAAATAAACGTAAATTCTGAACAGTGTGTTAAATGGGACTTCATGGATTTCTTAAACGGTTCAAATAAATACATTATGCAGATACGCCAATGACTTCCTCTTTTCTTCTCTCTTGATTGACATTACAATCAAAAACATCCAAATTAAACAATCTTATAATACCTGTTCTCCTAGAAGAAACTTTTTGCTTTAGATAATCATTCGCTGAACGATATCGTTTTACAGGATTGATCATGTATGTTTTACTTACATAAAATGTAGTAATACACTGACGATGTTATTTTAAGGTATAAAGAATACATTCATTTTCCAAGTGAAACCCTTTTTAATACATTAAAGTCGGTAGATCAGATTGCACTACATTGTTTAAATATTCACCATAGCCATCCGTGACTGACTGACTGAAAAAAAGCACTGTGATAGTTGGACGACTTCATGGGTGGAATAGTTCTACTCGATCCATTGACTGAAAGAGATGCAACATATGACTTGTAATTTCAGGAAGGTTACTTATGCTTGTTATTATTTTTGAGTAGTAAGATAATGACTTACTACAGGTTGGAGTTTTCTGAGTTCTAGTGCGAAGTCGTGATCAGTGAGGTTCAATTAGATGTCACGTGTGTGGACGGATGTCCCACCAACGACGATGGTTGGGGTCGCGCTAAATCACGAATTGGTAGAAGTTAGAATTCATGAGCTATTGAATCGGGTCCCAGTGGCTGAATGGTATACGAGCTTGCCTTGTAACCGGAAGGTCCTGGGTTCGAATCCCAGTGGGTGCGTACTGCCGTTGATTCCCAAACTAGGATGAAACAGCAGCGGTCCAGCACTCCCTGCTTTTCAATGGTTCTCTAACTGATATCAATCCGTGATCAACCCGTAAAAAGTAGTAAGATAGTTTAAAGGACTTCTTCGATATATGTATGCAGTTGAAACTTCATGCTAAATATTGTCATTTAAAGAAAGGAAGGAAGACATTCACACATAGCTGATTGTGTTTTAAAGTCAGATCTGTATTGGTATTCATTGTTACTTGTAGTGAGTACTCCAGATCGTTACACTGATTTCACAGAGATGAACTTTTAGAAGATGGAGGGATGTTGACATTTATATAAAGTGCGATTTATACAAAATCTAGTCTTACCCCCCAAACTCCTATTGCATTTGTTCTGCTTAAACCAAAGACAAATCAAAATACCAATTTGATCTTCTAAAATACGAGATATATTTTAGCATCAGAGTTGAAGTACAATGATAATTGCTTAGTACGAATGATCGGACGTAACATGACAGTGTGCCAGATATCGTGGAGGCCTGACCGGCCAACCTCCAAGTTAACGAATCTCCCTAAACAGTGAAGAATGCTGTAGACAAATAATTCTGGGGAATTATTTACCACAAACTCCTATCTTGCTTTCTTGATTCACTAATAACTGGCTTAAAACATCTTCATCCGTGTCTCTTGCCTGTAGTTGAAACGCTGCTGCCCAGCTAAGTGGAAGAGGTAACTTCCTTTGGATTTCTCCCATTTATAATGACTGGTTCCTGTTGTTGTCTGTTGGTTATCGTCATCACTTCTGTCCTCCGTGCGTTCACCTGAAGTGCTTTCTTTGCTGCCTTTTCTGTTAACTTGTTAGTTTTCAAGTTTGTGCGACGCGAGGTATAAGTCGTCCATGAAGTCCAGATCTCCTAGACTATTTTATTCGTTATGGATAAGATTTTATTTTGATAAATCACACAGTGTTGTACAGTTATATTAACTGATGACGTTTCGAGCACAAACTATTGCCCCTCATAATCATATCAAGTTTCTCACACAACTTTGTTCTTTCATTTATATACATGTGTTGAATCGATTAGATACTGGATTAAAAATCAGTGTGAGATAATGTACATTCAGAAATAATAGTACGAGTGTTGTTGATCGATTGCAGTTAGATGGGAAAAAGGACGAGTGTTTTTTACAGTCATAATAAGCTACTGTACAACACTGTGTGATTTATCAAAATAAAATCCTATCCATAATGGAGTTATACTTTATATCAATACTTTATACTTATATCAATAATACTATTTTATTCGACCCACCGTATGCCCTTCTTCTCGCTACCCACAGTCTGTCTCATGATCCAGTCTACCACAACTAGGAATATTATCGATGGCAGTAAGCTGCAATGTCTTGACTTCAGACGCCTTACAAAGTTTTCCCAGTGTTAATTACTTGGCATCTAACCTCATTATATGGCTGTTAAATAAGGTGTATGAGTATTGAGGCATCACATAGTGTTGAATTAGCTGCCGAATTACTTCACGGTCAAAGCAGTTGAAAGTCTTTTCAAAGACGATGAAACCGAGATAGAGAGTTGACTTCCATTCTATAGTTTGGCGTGCTACGAAACCAGCTTGTTCCAGGAGGATTTTTGTTCCCAGGACATATTTTAATCTTTCAACGATGATGGCGCTTAGTGTTTCATTTGGAGTAAACAATAGCACGACCCCGCGCCAGTAATTCCACAGGCTTGACTAGAAAACTTTATTCCAACTTGCGTGTATCTTTGCTTCCTTCAACACCTCGAGTACTGACGTGGGCATACTGGGGTCCCTGGATTTATTTTCAGTGCTTCTGGTTTGAGAAGGATTCCACATGGTCCATTCTCTTTCTCAGCATTCAGGAACTTTATGGCCTTCGCGACCTCTGCTTTTATCGAAGGGTAGGTTTTTCCTATGGTAGATCTGAGTCTGATGTTGGTTATGGTATCCTTGGCAGAGTTGCAGGCGGTAGTTTATTTTGGAGTGATTTTAAGTTACCAGCCCAGCGTGTCCCTCGTTCTATCTCCTTTGTAACTACAGTCCCTTCACTGTTTTCCACTGACTCTGTCTGTGTCGATTTTTTCCGGGATACTGGCCTGGCTACTTTACATAGTGTCTTAAGGTCTTTCTTATCTACAGCCTATTCTGCTTCAGTAGCCAACGTGTTCTCCTGGCACTTTCCTTCACTCTTTTGTTTAATGTGTCGCAGAGTGTGCTTAGATTATCCTTTCGTTATTTCTACACTGTTTCACCGTTCCCCTCTCTTTTACCAGCGTTCAGGTGTCCGTAGAGAGATTTCTTGTCTTGCCTCTTATTTTTGTCTGAGATATTTAAACATGTTTGCTTCCACATCGTTTTCGAATAGTTGCAGTGATCTGTTACTAAGGCTTCTTCAGTGATTTTGCTGAATTTTTGCGTCTTTCCCAATGATGGCCATAGTAATATGTGTCAATTTCTGACTACTGAACTTCAATTGTGGTCTACCTCCAGTGCTAGGTATGGAGGGGCAACCAATAGATAAGGTTGTGAGTTTACATCGATTGAGATGGTTAGTACATTTGTTACGTAAGCCTAGCCATCGCCTTCCCTGATGGGCGATATTAGCTGACATAGGGTCATGTTGGAAAAGATCTACTGGTGGTCAAACCAAAGCATGGAATCAGTCAACGAAATCTACAACAGTTAATAATAATAATTTTGCTTTTATTCCAGAAACAGTACTAGTGGTACAGTGTGGAATTTTCATCACATATCTACAATATTGCATCTAATTTCATCGTACATTTAAAAGGAGTATTACAAAAAAAAAATATAAAAAAACAACAAAAACCAAAAAGAAACACAAAAATAACAAAAAAATGCAAATAAAAATACCAAGTGGAAAGGAAGATAAACAACAATAATGAAAAAATATTTCAGTATTGGGTAGTGGAAGCTATGATATGTGTATGCGTGGTGAACAGTAACAGCTATAATCATACAAGAAATTATGAGATGTTCTTAAGAATGTTTATAGCCAAGATGATCAGTTAATTTGATTGAACAACACTAAACAATCATAAAATAAACATTTCAGGTTTTTTTTTTATTGTCAGCACTAATGCGGTGTTTGTTGTGGTAGTGTGAGTAATCATGCATAATACAAAATTTTTTAAGATGGTGATAGTGGCGTTCACAAACAAGATTGTCAGTTAAATAGTGCCGAACAAAGAACAACCACAAAACTAATATTACATGATGGTTAATGACAGGACAATTTTTAATAATCATAGTGATAATATAGTCGGACCCAGTAGATACACAAAAGAAGGAATAGAATAAAGAATAAAAAAGTAAGCCAATGATAATAATTTTAAGTAGCTAAGTATGTTTAAGAAGGTTGTTCACTATAGAGTACAAATAAGAGAGTATAAGGGGGAAATAACAAGGGCCAAAATTATGTTATTAACAACAAAGCAAGTCATAGGTTTCACGCTTAACATTGTCTCTGTCACTTAGAACACGGGCCAAATATGGTATCGTTGAGTTCCTATACTTGGTTGTACGAGCATATATTATTTTGTACTGATTTCTGGTTCTACCTGATGAGATGCAAGGAGAGAGTTGGGAATAGAGGGGGTGTTGGGGGTCAGAGAGTATGGTTTTAGACCATTTTTC